TAGGAGCTGTTTTACATCAGTGCGTCGGCAACGAACGACAACCATTAGCATTCTTTTCTAAGAAATTAGGATCTGCCGAAAAGAAGTATTCAGCTTACGACCGGGAACTACTTTCTATCTATTTAGCAATAAAACATTTCAAACATATGCTCGAAGGCAGACATTTCACGATTTTTACAGACCATAAACCCATAACTTTCGCTTTCAAACAGAAATTAGATAAATGCTCTCCTCGACAATTCCGATACCTAGATTACATTGCGCAATTCTCTACAGATATTCAACATATTTCCGGTAAAGACAACGTCGTTGCCGATGCACTGTCCAGAGTGGAAACGGTTAACCACTCGATTAATTTCGAAGAATTGGCAAAATCGCAAGCCCAGGATGAGGAGTTGCAGCGGTTGTTGAATAGCGAATCTAGCCTGCAATTACGCAAAGTCTCGTTGCCTGGCACGTCTTCCGAAATTTTTTGCGATATTTCGACTAAGAATGTAAGACCTTATGTCACCCCTCCTTTCCGACGTGCAGTTTTTAATATGTTACATGTATTATCACATCCAGGTATTAACGCGACGATCAAGCTCATAACGCAACGTTATGTTTGGCCGTCGATTAAAAGAGATGTTCGCACGTGGACACGTTGCTGTATACCGTGCCAAAGATCAAAAATTTCCCGTCATGTGACTGCACCATTGGCTACATTTGTTAAACCTTCTGCGCGATTCGAACACATTCATTTAGACATAGTAATTTTACCGGTGTCCGAAGGTTTCAGGTATTGTCTGACCTGTGTAGACAGATATACGCGGTGGCCGGAAGCCTTCCCCATGGTCGATCAGGAGGCCCAAACCGTAGCTCGAACCTTTTATGACGGTTGGGTAGCGCGGTTTGGTGCTCCCGTACGGATTACCACCGATCAGGGTAGGCAGTTCGAATCCAAATTATTTTTTGCGCTGAACAATTTAATTGGATCCACACGCCTTCGCACAACGGCGTATCACCCAGCGGCCAATGGGATGGTAGAGCGTTTTCACCGACAGCTCAAGTCGGCTATAAGGTGCCACGGATCCGACAAGTGGACAGAAATACTTCCGACGGTTCTACTCGGTATTCGTTCCGCCTGGAAAGAAGACCTCGGCGCTACCTCAGCGGAATTAGTTTATGGCGAGCCATTAAGATTACCGGGAGAGTTCTTGTCTTCGCATTCAGCGGAAGGCACAGAAAATGCTTCCGATTTTACTAATAGACTACGCAACCATTTTTCTAAATTGAGTCCCTCTAATGCATCACGCCATTCCGTTAATCGTACATTCGTTTTCAAAGATCTTAGCAGTTCAACACATGTTTTCATCCGAACAGATTCAGCCAAAACTATTTTACAACCCGCTTATGAAGGTCCATACGCCGTAGTGCGCCGAGGCGAAAAAACATTTACAATAAACATTAGAGGTAAGGAAATAAATATATCAATTGAAAGGCTAAAGCCTGCTTATATGCTAGCAGAAAACAGACCGGATCCCGTGAGCATAGAAAATCAGCCGGTCACACAAACAAACGTACCTGACAATGCGCCGGTTATACAGCAACGTGTTACGCGTTCAGGTAGACGCGTACGTTTTCCCGAGCGATTTCAAATTACGCGGTAGTACTTAAGGCTTGCGCATTATTATAATAAGTATCATATACCATTTATTTTTATCCATCACTTTTATGTACTTTCATGTATTTTTAGGTATTACGTATTATATATTAAACTCCATGTAAATTCCTTTTTTTTTCAACTCTGTTCAAATACTGTAATGTAAATCTTAGTTAGGATAACGTATTTTATATAATAGAGTAAATGGTAGTGGTAATGTAGTCGGTCAATTTTTCGTAATTGTGCCAATTACTGGCAGGGGGGTAGTGTGGCGGCCAAGGCACCACATACGCCTTAGCCGTTCGAAGCCGCTACAATGTATGGTTGCACACGAGACGATGGTTGCACACGAGACGACCAGAGCCGCGTGAGCCGAAAAGCCGTTGTCGTCGTCTCTGACCGTCTTTTGTTTTTGAAGGCCTCTTGGTACGGTGGCGATGATCGTACCAGAGAGTCGAGCGTAACCCGCACCACGAGTCACGTCGTTGTACGACAGCAACAATAAAATTGTGCGGAACGGAACAGAGCGGAGTCATTATCTTCCCGATCCCACAAGCTAAATGAATTTAAATGAAACTTTACATTTAAGTTTTATGTTCTCATTTCAAAGTCCGGTTAGACTTTGACTATAATCAGTCCATGGATAATAATGATTATACCTCTTGTTTCATAGTTGTTCCGATATATGTATAGGCATAATGTATAAAAAATCTTTTAACTGTTTCATATAAATCTTAGGACGAATTAAATTTTATATATGTTAGACAGACGCGTAGAATGGAATTAAGAATTAAGAAATACGCAGGGTACATGTGCAAAATGTGATTACGATTTTCGCTAAGACAAATTGAAAACTCGGTTCTAACAAGGAAAAGTTGGAATGGTACCCGTTTTTGGGTTAGGTTTTACTTTGAGGTTTTACTCCTCTGCAGGTTCAAACCCTGCCAAAACAAATCCTTTTTTTTTATTTTTTCAATCATATTTTAATCGTACACTAAATATGACATTATATTTTTGTCTGACCTTCGAATATTTTTTTTTAAAGTTAATTTAACCGATTACATTTAACATATGTTATTTTCAATGTACGAAGTACATGAATCTGGATGGTACTTTTCACAAAAACAGTCAAAACATAAAATTTCAAACACCACGTACATTTACTGAAAGTTTTGTTTTCACAGAAATAACAAAATTTTGTATTTAACTCTGATGGAAAGGCCGCTTCATTTACATTGATAAAATGTGAACGATTTTCGGATAGTCGTACCTTGTAGCTCGTACTTTTTACCTTATACTTCAGGTAAAAAGGGATATAGCTGGGAAAAACAGTTTTATGACATTACCTGCTAACTTATGTTACTGTTCTACAATGAAACGCTATGTTTTGTACCTTTAAAAATATTCGACTATGTCCTTTTAAAATTTAAGATACAACCCATACTTTGTATTAAACTGGCAAACGGGATCACTTTTCCTTTGTTTCTAGTTAGTTCTATTTAGTTCGTCATAACAAATTGATACGGTTATCTCAAAACAATCGAGGAAAATCATTATTAATTAATTTCTGCAATTATTAATTCTACTGTTTTGTTTGTTATAAAAGTAAGTACTCTTCTTATTGAAAAATACCACAGCGTGCTCAATACTGGTAAAGAGTGGAATCTCATTTTAATTTATTAATTTTCAATCTTAAAGTATTTTGATTTTCAAAAATCGTATTAATAATATACATATGTGTGCTCATACATGGGAATAAAAAAAAATTTCTTTTTTTTCAATAATTAAAATATGATCAGGAGGTCTTAAAACGTGTATTTCCGTAAAATAAATTTTACAAAATTTTTTTTTCATTATGGGTACTTTGCTTATGTACGGCTACATAGGTCGGAAAGTAAAAATGCCTGGGCAGTCGAGAATCTCGGCTCGAGAATCCAAATCGTATGCCGTTGACGGGAGGTCGGATTTCAGTTGTTTAGAGCGCGAAGGCAAATGTGAGCCTTGCTCTCTCGACTCCCACGAGGCGATCCGAAATTACTTCGGGCAGCTTCGGAGAATCGAGAAAGAGGGCATGCGTCAGTTTGCCTTTGTCGACTTTCCGAAACTCCACGAGCTCACGTACGCGTATCTGGCATGTGTGCGTGTGCACCCGGCGGTGCTTTTCTGGCATCTCTGACCTACGTTCACGTGATAGCGTAACTGTTGCGGTCGCCGCCTGGCGCCGTGTAGCAGAAGCTCTGGGGGGCGCGAGGTTTAAATCAGATTACACGAATGTAATAGGAAAGGGAGACAAAGTGGAGTCCGCGCCAATTCTAAGGTTTAAAAGTGGTTAGAGATTCTTTTAATGACTTCACTTCGGGTCATAGATTAGCCAATAATTTATTGGAGACGGATGTTTGGATCGTCGTGAGCTCCCCTTTGATCCCTTCTCCTAAGTGTGTAATTCCTGGAACTTGGGCCGTGCGCTATCGATAGCCGGAAACGGGCTGCGTGGGAAAGCCGATAACAGCCACGTGCCGCAGAGGACCGTTCTCGAGGGATCGGGGGTGTGCCGAGGAACGCGCGTGCGAGAGTTTTGCGCCCGGCCCGAATAAAGGAAAGGACGATCTGGAGGGGCCTACGTGTGGGCTGGGCCTCGACCGGCCGGCAGAGCGACTCACTTGAATCCGGAGATCGAAAGTGAACGGACGTAGCATTGTAACATAAGCGAGATCGTACTTGTATTATTTGAGTTAGTTAATAGAGTTGAATCGGCAAAGAGAGAATCATCTTGAATTACGAGAGCGGAAGTGTACGAAAGGGTTACAAGATTCCTGCGAAATCTTGGTTGTTTTGTTTTATATTCCTTTATTAAGTTATAATTAAAGTTCTATTTACGTGTGTTCAAATCGTTGTATCCATTTATTATTTTCCTTATCTAGCGATCTCCGTTTGAAACTCCCGCGTCCAAGGAGCAGAGTGCCTTAGCACTCCACGGGTAGCGTTCCCCGTCGAATTCCCTACGAAGTTTCGGAAATACGCCGCCGGACGCGCAACAAAATTGCTCTGCCGGCCAGCTGCACTTCGATGACCGCACGAGGTCCAGCGCGTCCAACTTGCTACGATCCCTAACCACTTTTAAACCTTAGAATTGGCGCGGACTCCACTTTGTCTCCCTTTCCTATTACATTCGTGTAATCTGATTTAAACCTCGCGCCCCCCAGAGCTTCTGCTACACGGCGCCAGGCGGCGACCACAACAGTCAACTGCTTAAGTTCCCTATCGCACGCTACGCCACGCCACCTCACGTCGCGTTGCCGAACGGTACTAACTACTATATACCATTCCCCCACTCCTACTTCCAATCGGAGGAGAAATTCCCAGAAGTTCTTCTCGCCTGGCATCACTGCGTGTAAGGTTTCTATCAAGTTGTGTGAATTAACTGTGCGATTGGAGTGCATTTTATTTTCCCACGTGGTTCTTCAGCGATGAATTAAAACACTTATGTTTCGAAGTGTTGGGAAAGAGTCTAATGTCATCTTTTATTATTATTCCTACTTGTGGATACACATTAGCACTGTGTAACATGTCCATAAACAATTTATATTGGTGCCACTTGATACAATTTTGATATATTGTACGAAGAATTATAATATTTGGTTATAAACGTAAGTACATGTGATTATGTTTCTAGTAATTTAGTAAATTTGATACAGTATGACGAAAACGTAGGTATCGTAAATTAATTTTAGACTTTTTCTTTGTTTAACTTGTTTAACGTCATTTCTATAATTTTACTTCTTGAATTTATATAAACTTGCTTTCTATAAACAATTTTATGTGCAAAAATACAAATGGATTTGGAAACTTTTTGTATCAAAAACATATATTACAGGTTTAAAAATTAGTTATTCTTAAAAGAAATTAATAAATTAGTGTTTTTCAATGAAGTTAAGTTCTATATATTGCAAGAAAGAATATTTGTTAACATTATATTTCGTTCTTTATTTTATTTTTTATAGTATACATTTTTTATTATGTAAAATGCAAAGTATATTAAACATTAACTATATGTTAAACAATTATAACGTTTCTTGTTAATGTTTAAGTAATGACTAAATCAAATTTGTCATGTTATTTCGTTCAATTATGTATTGTTTGGGTCTTATAAACATTCTTTTTAAAAATTATATTCATACTTATTAACAAAATGGATTAATAAACAAACTCTTCAAAATATACAGGGTGTGGCATGTAACTATTGGTATGATTTTTCAGACATTTTCAATCAGGGGTTGAAAACAGTTATAATATTAGTTTTAGTTCTTGAAACAATTATGAGAACTGAAAAAATGTTATAATTGTTATGGATATATTGGCTTTGGCTTATCAGCTATGGTTTTCCAGAACCGATATTATGTCAGTTTTATAACTGTTATTTTTTTGTTCTATTTCAATTATAGTTCAGTTTTCTACAATAGGTATATTGTAATTAAATTTAAGATTTTTGTTGTTGCTGTTGGACTTTCGACAAAGGACATAAATTACGAAATGCAAAAGATGCATTAGTACGTGTCCCATATACAATGTGTCATACATACACAGAACCAAAAAATAACTATAATGTTTGTTCTGAAGAACTACAGCTAACATCAGTATAGACTAGAACTAATATATTTATAACAGTTATGACACTTTTTCAATTCTCGTAACTGTTTAAATTCAGAACTGATGTACAAAGGTTTGAAACAATTATTTTTGGAACCATTTTAAACGTTTCAAACAAAAGTTGATTAGTTTTGGATCAGCTACAAACTGTAACAATATAAAAAATTAAAACAAAAAATTCTTTTTACTATAAAAATTCAAGGTTACCTTCTTTAAATGGCATTGCATATTTTTGTTCATATACCATGATCTTAACTTCAGATTTTAACTTTAATCAACAAAAACATTAACATCGAAAGTTATCTTACTTAAGTTAATTTATAATAAGTGCTCGAATGTGCTAATGCTATAATAACATTGTCATCATACGTAATTGGATTTGGATTATTTCTTTGTTTCAAATATTCTATGCTTTCTTAAACACATTCTAATTTTATAAAACAAATTTGGGCATGGGTGATGTCTCTTCAGATATTTTGTACTATAGTATACATATAATTGCACCTATGCATGCATTCTTGTCACATTTAGAGTATGGGCAACATATCAACTTTTTTATTATAAGAATACATGTTTAATATTTTAATAAGAACAAAAAACTGAATATTAGGGCCATCTTAGTAGAATTAACTTGGTGCGGCAAATGTCCTCTGAACACATAAGATAAGTCATGGGAAAACTATCAACATAATTTGTTCACACACTTTCATTTACACTGTTGTCATTACAAATATTGAAGCAAATGTTTTGTTGATTAAATTTATATATTTGATGTCACTGTCATCCAAATGTTATGGTATATTAAATCATTGAATTCGTCTTGACACGAGTTACAATAATATGAAGAAAAAATATGTAATAATATCATTTGAAGAAATGAAGTTAGCTTTGATTTTTTATATTGTAGTTTGTAACTAATCCAAAACTGATCAACTTTTGTCTGAAACAATTTTTTATTATACCATTGAAAGTGTACAAAAAATTGTGGCAACAGTTATGTGTCACATCCTGTACATACATTACATTGAATAAACATAATGTCAAAGATAAGATAAATATAGTATTAAAAATTGTGAATTCGTTGTCAAAGAATCAAAGTTGTAAAATAAAACATTGCATCTACAAATTAAAATAAATAAGCAAGGTGAAAGGTTTAGAGAAAAATTTGAAATATTTTTAATCAATTCCAAAAATGATAACAAATTCAAGACAACTTCATTTAATATTTATATTGAAGTAACAAGATTGTTAGGAGATATCTATTAAATTATTTTGATAAAAAGAAAATATAAATTATTTTATAGACATTATTTTTGTAAACAAAATGAAAGTTCATACTTTCGGATAAAAAGTTCTTTAAAGAAAGGTAGGGGCTGAGTTAAATTTAAGGACTTTACATTCTAAACAATATTATACACAAGCATTTGGAAATAGATGTATATGTTTTATGTTAGTCTATACATAAAAATATAAAATAATGATGTTTCATCATTTATGAAATAAATTATGCATGTGCATGTAAAAATAAATATAAGATTTTTATATATACCATTCTAGGTATTTTCTATCTTATGAAAGTAACTGTCAAGTTAAGTCGAGGAATATGTTAGAAAAATGTTGAATATTATACGAAGTTGGAGTACTTTTATAATAATATTGTTACACAGAATGTTTATAATTTTCTTTTATTTTAGTATGTAATAATATGTATCTGTACTTCATATTACATTGATCAAAGTAATAAAAATGTAACACAAATAACTAAAAATGTATGATTTTTATGTTTCATCTAAAGTTACAATTGTATTAAATATACTACCTCAGCAATGGATTTTGTAGATGAAGTCAGTTTAAATATATATCCTATTTAACTTTATTTTTGAATTGTAGCAAGTTTCTTTTTTGATATGCTATATGTGTTTACCTTTGCAATTGGTGTTTAAAATGACCTCCTTACATCTAAATGCAACCTTGCAAATGATATTGAGCAAGCCCATATATTAGGTGCATATTTGCCATTTATTAAATACACAATCTTTCTGATTCTAAGTTAATGGAATTCCATTTTCACACATGACATATTACGATAACCTAATACCTAGTGCTGTAATGACGAAACTAATTGCTGAAATGGTTTTCACAGGCTACAGTGCACCATGTATAACCCCATTAGTATTAATAGTACTAAATACAACATTATGAAAGTTAAAATGACTATTTCATTGATTATTGTGTGTGCTCTTTATCATTTTTGTGTTATATATACATATTTTCTATATCATTCAAACAGTTACTTTCATACAACACGTGAACAAAAATTTATAGCTTTTTATATAACAAAACTGATTTTATTTTCATGTTTATAAAATCTATTTGAGTTCTTAAACATGCTTCAAATTATAACATTTTGTGCAGAAAGCAGTGAAATATTTTTTTTATTTTTGTTGTACATTTATTAATTGCGAAAAAAATATTAGGTAGTAATAATATAGACAGTATACGTACTAAATATTTGTTGTAACTACTTTTTACAGAAATAATAAATTTATAAAAAATAATTTGATTTATTTAATATAAATTTATAATATATATAACTTTATATTACATATATCGAACATAATACGTTTATATTGTATCATCGGATAAGTTGTTGCAGAGTTTCTTTTCATAATACAAAACTTAATTGTATGTAATAATATTCAGAAATATGTGTTTAATCGATATATCTTTGCTAATTGTGTAAATTTTTGTATATAATTAATTTGGAATTAGAGGAGTAATCTTTTATAAATAGATATTAACAAGTTTGTACGATTTGATTTTGTTAAATTTATTAGATAGGAGAGAGAACAATATTTTTCAATCTTGTTAAATACGGTGGTAAATATTTACTTTAGTGACTTTGTCCTAAATCTGTTTATTTCTGATGGTGTTTTTAAAAAAGGCTATACTTCAGCATTGAATAAAAATATAAAAGGGGTTGGGTGAAAAAGGAACGTGTCTTGGTTTTTTTTTTTTTTTTTACAAAAAATAACTTTTACCTAAACAATAATTGCTGTTCGATTTCAGTTTCCGAGAGGTTTATAAAAATTGTTGATGCTATCGCATTCATTCTGCGTCTATGTATACAGGGTGTCCCGTAAATAGTGTAAGAACCGGAAATGGGGTAGCTGAGACGATTCTGAACAACAATTTCCTTAGCAAAAATGTCTGATGGAGCTTCGTTTTTGAATTATTAACGAAAAACACTGACCAATCACGGCGGTCGCCTTCCGCGCGCTCAGGGCCGCCCGACCTCGGAGAGCCACCGCGCCGGGTAGGTAGCAAGATGCGCGTTGAAGATACATCGAGGAACGAATACAAATAATTAAAAATACTACCACTACAACTGTTACCTAATTCGTTAATTACTACGTAATTAGTACGTAAATTACTAAATCGAATTTATTAATTATTTGTATTTGCTGTTTCCGAGAAAGAAGGAACAAAATCTCGGTATTTTTAGGAAATTGACCCTTCGCAACCGAGTGACGCTTCTCGGCAGAGTGTTTTAAAATTAAAATAAAAATTATTATCAGAAAATTAAAATAAATACGGTAAGAACCATTTGTAACCGTTTGTTATTAAAAACTGTACTGAAAAAGCAGACTGGATTTCTGCGTACCGAAACATTCCTCGAATGCAAAGGGTTAATAGAGAAATAATTGAAATTCGACTTACCCATTTATCTGCAAATTGACCTACTGCGCTGACAATAGAGCCCGGCCAATGCACCGCTGTCGGTCACAGCAAGGTCAAAAACCCCAACGAAAATCAGCTGATGGGACGGCCCGATCGCTGTACCTGCTTCTCACCCCGAAAAAACTTCACGCACGGTCACTAACACTTTTCACTTTCACATACCGATGTGTTCCGTTGCATCCTACTTCGATTGTTGCTCCTTCCTGGGTTGATAACGGTGCCTGGATGTTGCTCCCTCCTGAATTGTTACTCCTTCCTG